GGACTGTTACATTTACATTGATCGCTACAGTAGTAACCGCGGGTAACCTCTTAACCATTTCAGTATTCCTAAGACGGAAACTTCTAAACCGCGCTCGTTACCTTTTATTAAGCCTAGCCATCGCGGACACATGCGTGGGAGCGGTATCTGCTCCTCTGTACATTGCTGTTGGTATCCATCCACAAGAGGAATTGCTGGTACTCCTGTTTCAATGCGTAGATATGTTTACAGGAATGGTGTCTATTTTCACCCTTGCTAGCATTTCAGTAGAAAGACTCCACGCCGTGTTATGGCCCTTTCGCCACTGTTTGTTGACATCACGTTTCTACATTTGCGTTGTTGGAATACCATGGGTATTTGGTTTGATAGGAGTTTCATCTCGACTTCTCTATCACTTCCGGGTTATATCCTCCTCGGAATTTCTAATTCTGACGAACACATTTCTCCTGACTCCCCTTTTGATAACAACCACCGCTTACGTTTTATTATGGAGAAAACTGCCTAATCGACCTCAGAACGAATACCAGGCCGACAATCATGACAAGAAATTGGCGAAAACATTGTTCATTTTAACAGCAGCTTCCCTCATAACCTGGAGTCCACACCAAGTCTTGATCATTGTATCGGCATTTTGCAAGTCTTGCAGATCTTGGCCCTACAAAGTGGTTCATATCGTTAAGATATTACAGTTTATTAACTCATTTACAAATGTTATCATCTACTCCTTGAGGATTTCAGAATATAGACAGGTAGTTCTTCCTTGCACCCTCTAAGCCGAGGAAATCGATGCCTTATTCGTGAATAAAGCAGCGATTGATCTCAGACAGGAGATAACGAGCGAGGATGGTCGATGAGCGTCTAAAGAATACTAAATTGAAAGAATAGTACATTTGTTACGCTTGAAAAAGTTGTGGTGTAAGAATTAAGACTCGGTTGATTGTTTCAGCTTAAATTTCAGAAGAGAATATGTATTTGAAGGAAGAATAATGATGGTGAACTACAAACATTGAAGGGGACTTATAAAAGGGTTTTCCGAAAACATTTTGTAGACAACAGATGTTAATATTTCTATAAACAAAGAATTGTTTTGGTCATGTTTCGCATTACTAAGAGCCGCTCTCGCTAAGAGCGGTCTTCTAGACTTCTGTCATAAAAATAGTTTTTCATTTTTGCCCACGAAAAGGGGTTAGGACACATGTTTCAAAAATAGTTTAGTTGTTCTCCGATTCTCTGTTTTTTTTGCGTCTCCACATGTACAAGCTAAAAATCATTTTCGGCTAGACCGCCCGTGTGGACAGCGATCGAAAGTGTAAACTTTACATTTTTTTCTACAGGTTTTCATGACAAGTGGATGGAGAATAGATGCCGAGTTGCACTAAAACGTTGTGTAAAAGTGATCGGTCGTAACGCTTGCGCGCTTGCGTGGTTACAAAGTAAACAAAGGTGATCGATAATTTTCGTTGAAATATCAGGTCATGAACTACACACAGTGTGAAGAAGACCAAAATTAAAGAGTAAAATTTGGTACTCGGGTCACTACAGACACATCGCGTTGCTTAAAAGGCCACATAAACAAGTTAAAATATACGTTACCGTTTTATTCACAAAACAACACGCGTAAACTCTGAAAGAATTCTTGCAGTTTCTCCCAAGATTAGCACACGGAACGCAGTGAATTAGCCCTCCTTTCTACGAATTTGTTTTCATCATTAATGATTTTACGCTGTTATGGCGACAAACTCAACATTTCCCTGCGATCATCAAACTCAACCGGACAAACCCAGCTAGATGTATTGCGTAACGTAATTATGCTATTTTTCCCATGTTATACACCAAAATTGGTCAATGTAACGAATTATAATCGAAAGTAAAAATGAACTGAAGAATTTTGCATTTTACTGAGAATTTTATCTTTTGAAATGTTTACATGATTTGCGAAATCCTGAAGTTCAAGTTTATTTTGTTTCGTTCCGATCATTTGAGCCTCGAAACTCGGCATCTATTCTCCATTCAGTTGTTATAAAAACCTAAAATCCACAACGTAGAAGATAAACAAACGAAGTTTGAACGGTCAAAAGGAGATCTCCAATTTTCAGAGTTATGCAAATGATCCTTGACACAGCGTAATTTAGCAAACACGTGGATTTGCGTTGTTTTTAACTCGTGGATACGCGATAGCGTTGAAACGAGTTGTTGTGGGCACTTTTGGATATGCAAATTAGCGTGAACTCTTCATAATTGGTCGTAATTAGTCGGCTCCAAACTCGAGATCTATCCTTCCGAAGAAGTCCTAAGCCCTGGCGCTATTGTGATTGCATCGATCGTTGGGATGTTTATTGTCTTTCCACGGCTGTTTCGACATTTCCTAAATTTAAATGGACTTCGAATGTTGCATATTAGTGTTATGATCAACTTAAAGGCCAAATTTGAAGGGTCTTTTAATCGTCCATGCGCTGAACATAACGAGGAGCAGCGAGAATCACGAAGAGTTTGTGAGTAACAGAGCAAGCTGTCGACATGGAAATTTCCACGGAAACATGTACCCATAACATTGAAGAAATGTGAATTCACAGCATTATTTCTTTCGTTTCAGAGTTTTTTCCCCGACGTTTCGGCAGCTACGCCAATTTCGGTCTTCTCGTTATGGTCATTTCATCTTGTTACTTTGCTATGCAAACGTGACTGTTTTGATGGTAAGAATGAAATATGATCGGTTTCTACAGGTCGTTTCCGCGCACGTGACCATAATCTGGCTGGTGTTGTTTTGATCACTTGACGATCTTTTTCGCTTAAAACACACGACGACTTCCTATTTCAAGGAATGCTTTTCCAATTAGTTTCTATCGCATCCGTGTAAAAAAATACAAGCATATCAGTGTATTGAAAAACAAAAGGGAAATTCAAAAGTACGGCTAACACAACATAGGCCAAAATACGGCAGAGGTTCTGAGGAGCCGGCTGTACATACCCAGCAAAAAATGACCCATATACTCCACCTGGGGGGTTTCCATCACATACTCAAGTACTATAATTTCTTTAATTTACTTGCAATGGTTCTACTTTCTTTCGTAACACCTTAGTTTACTGTCAAAAAATTTTACGGGTATGTATCTCGTTAATTCTTTGTCTACGATTTGGCCAGGGGGCCCTGTAATTAGGATGTTGGTGGATGAAAGTTAGAGATATACCTGCGGGTTTGGGGCAATCGGTGACCTCATTGGTGGTTAAACTATGCACTGATATGCTTTTTTAGCCTGATTAACGCCTGCACTTTAATAATTCTTTCAATTCAAAGCCATCGAATTGTCGTTGTCTTTGCTACTTCTCAACTTTCGGCATTTTAGTTCATTCTTTTTGTGTTTTCTCCTCCTATTCTTTACCGGTAGTTTGCTTCGCTTAAAGTTAACAATAGTATAAAGAACTGTATGGGGAAACAAAACGCTTTGAATGTCACCATCCTTTACTCGAATTGAAACTGTGATAGTTATATATTGCGTTAACAAATAGCGCTCGATCAGTTTCTTTTTTAATTGAAGGATACCCGCTACGAGAACAACTTTATTGTCAATGTATGGAACTCCACATATTTGCCGATAATTGGACCTCGCAAATTTAAAATATTTGATCGGCGAAGTATTTTATGGTAGTCAAAATAACGCAATATTAGGTTTGCACAATGTTTTTTCTTTAATCTTTCTTAAACGAAAGTTTTCTTTTGCTCTTATTACTATCAAAAAAACTGCTCTTTCACTTCCGCTTTATTTCCCCGTTGGTCTTCTTAATGATGATAAACACATTGTCCTCATCCCCCTTCTAATAACAATCATCACTTATGTCCTCATATGGAGAAAATAACATGACAGACTTCCGATCGAAGAACAGGAAGACGATCCGAACAAGATATTAGTAAAGTCACTGTTTATAATAACGGGAACGTTCCTTCCAACTTGGGGTCCTCATCAGGCTATAAAAATTATAATTTCATTCTGCGGGATTTGATCTTGGCCCTACCTAGTATTTTATATCATGAAGATGATGCAGTTCATTAACTCTTTAATGAATGTCGTTGTCTATTCCTTACGGATTCCGGAATACAGAGAGGCACTTTTTTTTCTTAATTCTTATAAGCCGGTCTCCAGAGAGAGAGCTTGTTTGAAGCCAAGAGTGGGTATTAATAAAATCAAAAATACATCTAAATGTCATTAATCTAATTGAAAATTGCACTCTCAGTTAAGGTAACAGGTTGTTCTTCATAATCAGTAATGATGAATTCGTCACTGCATGTTTTGGAGATTCTCAATTAAGACTGAAGTGGCTCTTTTATAAATCAGATAAATTAAAAATGAAGTTTCGAATTTTCGGTACCTTTTTGCCTCATCTCGCACTATCCTATCCTATTCCTATCCCGACCCATTTAAAAATTTTTCTTAAGCAATTTTATTGAAATGGTGCGCTGCATTTTATTTTTAATTGGTGATAAACGCGAGAGAAAGAGAAAATTTTTTATATATTCACTCATTTGAACGAAGTCAATAGGTCTAAGTGAAAAGCTGCGAAGCCATGCCAAGATAGCTGGTAATTTAGTAATAACAACTGAGTTGAAAACGTAAATTGGCCACCGTAAAGAGTAAAAAAGCTGAAGTTTCGAGGGTTAGCCCTTCGTCAAATCGCTCTGACGAAGGGCCAACGTTCGAAACGTCAGCTTTTTTACTCTTTACGGTGGCCAATTTACGTTTTCAACTCAGTTGTTAACACTAAATTACCTGCTACACTCTCCCACCGACACAGCACCACAGTTTCTTTAGAAACTTACCCCTTTTATTCCGTGCAAAGATAGCCTATTTTAAGCAAATGACTCAACTTTAATGACAGAAATCCAATAATTTTCTTGCAAAGCAAACTTTTCTATTTATATTTTTATCAAAATAATATAACCGTCCGACTGCATTATAATTTTCTTTAGCTGTCCAATTAATTTTTTTCAATTTTTTAAATTAGACATGAAAATAGTGTTTTCGTTCAAATATATTTCTGTAGCTGTTGTTAGGTTCGAGGGCCAATAGTTTCCCGGACAAAAATACTCTTAAGTGATACTCTAGTTAAGTAAAGGCGATATTTTTATTTACTGGTTCAAAATTCCCTCATTATTGATTTAATACTAAATGTAAACCTTTCAAGGGAATCCGAGGAACTCTGGTGAAAACATGGACTTCAATACTTGGAACGTGTTCTGAAGCCTTTCATTCGGTTTACTGGCCTCTTTCATCTTTACTGGAAACTTGCTGACCATCGTCATATTTTCCACGCGCAGACTTCGCAACCGTCCACACTTCTTGTTGATGAGCTTGGCCACAGCAGATTTGCTGGTCGGACTATTATCCATTCCAGTTTACATAACGTTTCACGTCCACTACACCACAAGATTCTTTATTGTTGTGTTTGACTGTATCGACATGTTTTCTGGGCTCGCATCGATCTTCACCGTCACCTTAATCTTTCTGGAAAGAATGCATGCCATAAGTTGGCCGCTACGTCACCGGTCGCTAAGTAACAGGATCTATGTTGCTGGCATTGCTTTACCGTGGATTTTAGCTGCAATGGTTACGTCGACAAGACTCTTGTTACACTTTTCTATTATAACCCGGTGTCATTTTGTCATCCTTATAATAATTTCTTTGAGCAGTCCGCTTACTATAACGATTTGCTGTTATCGCTCCATCTGGAAAAATATAAAATCTCGACTACTAAATCCACATAGAACCGGAAGTGACGAGAAGCTAATCAAGACTTTAATGTTGCTGACAGTGTGTTTCCTGGTCACGTGGCTGCCTTTTGAAGTTTTGGTTGTTTTTCTTAACTTGTGCGTTTCTTGTCGACAGCTCCCTATGGTAGCTGTGTACATCATCAAGTTTTTACATTACAGCAATACAGTCGTTAACTTTATTGTCTATCCTTTAAGGATAAATGAGTTTAAAGAGACGCTTGTAAATCTCTTTCCGTGGAAGAGAGGAGAGCAAATGTCGCAGTTTAGTAGTGGCATCACTGTGCTTTCAATGACAACCTTAACAGGTACTTTTCATTCCTTAAGTTTCGACCCGACAGAAGAGACTTGGCAACTATAATTGAAATCCTCGGCACTATTTCCCTAAGAGAAAAAAAAAACGGAGAGCAAAGAATACAGGAAAATTTAACCAAACAACTCTTATTTATTTCTTAGCATCCTTTAACTATTCTTCGTTTTAATTACCTACAGACAACTTTCCATTATGATCTTGAGCTCTGGTTCAACAACGAGACCTTTGACATTGAGGGAGACTGGGTTCAAATGCGAAGAGAGCAAGGCACTGACTTATTTCCGAACGCCCTCCACTACGTTCATTTTTGTATTAAAAGAGCATGTACGGAAAATAAAAATCACATTGTCATCCACGAGACCGCTAGCTCGCTATTCTAATTGATCGTTGACGGAGCTCACCGCACCATATCGTGAGGCCGGGCACCTGGAAAAAGCTAATTTGTTAGAGGGTGTCCTTACATATCAATTGCAATGAATAGGGATTCAGTGTTGTGACAGAGGAAAAGGGCTAAGGTTTGTATTTTGATTAAAAAAAGACAAAAATTATGGAAGTTGCGACTCAACAATAGACGAGAGGGTATCCAAATGATAAAGAAAAAAGACACTTGTGGAAGTGAAACTTCTGCATCCTTATGTCTTTACGTATGTATGGGTATATATATATGTGTGTGTGTGTTTATTTATGTAGAGACGTAATTTATAGAGGCCAGGCAGCCAGCTAAATAGTGAAAAACGTGCGGCTTTCGCTTTGGATTTATAAGAAAACTGCATTGTGGTAAAGGGTTACATACCTGTCCGATAGGATTCTATTGTTTGGTTTCATATGACATTTCAATTCGGAAGTTCTTCTTTTATTTTGATGGGTTGTTTTTCTGTAGTAGGATTATGAGATGGTTCAACATTGCTCGGTACTTACGTTTGGAAATGACCATCCCATGTAGAAAGATCAACGTCATACGTTAACTTATGTTAAATCTGAAGTAATATCCATTATGTTGATTTGCTTATCCTTGGTTCAATTCAAACAAAAAGAATAAGTTGCTATGGCACTTAAAAAGGGATTATTGCTGATCGTGCGCCGAAAAAATGATCCGTGTAATAACAGATTATGTACAGTTACCTTAGTGCACAATCACTGATACGGCTGGCAAACGATATATGGACTAAATCGGTCCAATACAGCACAGCAAATGTGAGGATTCCTGAGTAATACACCCACTTAAATGGACAACTGAAATTGTGAAGGGCAGTCATATTGTAAAAGTCCCAGTTAGAAGCAGCTGCGTATTGGATAACTTCACCCTCCTTCTAGCTCTAGCTTTATTTTCATTTTTATTTTTATATGCAGTAAGAAGTAAATGATAAAAACATGAAGCTGTCACCAGAGAGTCTCTTTGAGTCCGCTAAAGAAAGTTCACCATCCTCCAATATCATCCTATTAGACTGTTTTCATATTATAAACGATTTATGTTTTGTAAAGTGAGTGTGCTGTTGAAGGAAATAAGTGAGATATTTGATTGCTTGAATGTGGTAGGGTGAAGTTGCCGTTGCCTTCTAAGGCTACATTTCAATCTCAAAATAGTTTCATGAACTATGTTCCTATAAGTTGGCATCCTTAAACAATAGATGATAAAATTGATGAAAGAATTACTAAACTGGAGAAGCTTGATTACGTATACAACCGCAAAAGGGATACGCCTACAGGGTATGCAGACGTTGAACACTATAACCAAAATTTGGAACGGTAGCCACGTTACAACAAACATCCCTGTTATCAAAAGCAGTACATAAGCTAACTTAGTGTTACTTCTAGCTCTGTGGTCACTTTGTGGTCTGGAAGCCTGCAAATTCCCGATGATGCCGTAGGAGATAAAAGACATCAACAACGGAGTCGATAAGCTAATGATCATAACAGCTACAAAATGATGTTTTGTCATGATTCTAAAATAAAGTAACACTCTCGTTGATGTCACGATAACAGAGAAGACCCATGGCATTACCATAGCGATGATGTAGCTTTTAAAGGAGAGCTGTCGATGGTGGAGAGGTCGTGCTATAGCATAAAGCCTTTCAACAGAGATTACGGCCAAGGTGAATACTGACCAAAAACCTGTGAACATGTCCACGCAATCAGAGATGAAACGTGACAAAACTCTTTCCTTCGAGACAGATGTTATCATAAGTATAGGTACTGCAAATATTCCAACCAACAAATCAGCAATGGCCAATTCTGCAAGTAGATAATGAGGTCGCTTACGAAGTCTTCGTCTCAATAGAACTGAAATGGAGAGACAGTTACCAATGATTATTATGACTGCTGTGGATACAAAACATATACTCCAGAATATATTCCATTTGTTGAAGTTCATCTTCAGCGCGGGGTTGGGCAGCAATTCCTGAAACAAGGAGGAAAAATTATTTTAACTCATCATGACACAACAAAAATTTGTAAGGAGAGAAGACCTACCCGTTGTTTGTAAGTTTTGATGCCCATTAGAGATATGTTATTTTGGTAATTGGGAGAGAATCCATTTGCCATTTTGTTGTCTGCCGGAAATGGAGAAGGTTGGCAAGTGAATTAAAATCAACGTTAAGTAAGATAGGTAAAAGCCCTATTCAATCTAGAGTCACTCAAATACTCTCATCTATCATTATTATACGTAAGTTTGTTTTTGATAATGTTGGTTTTTCTTCCCTCTTTTCATCTCTGATCCACGCGATACAGATTTTATGATTTATGCGTGCTTAATCAAATGACTGCACGGCTGTTTGTTTCAGGGTTCGTTACATATGAAAGAAACATATCGCTAGTAGGAAATTGTTTATCGATATGAAGTTAAGAAGTACAATTTTCATTCATTTTTCACCGTCAGCGTGTAAAATTCCTTTTTGAACAAATCGTTCCTTTGACAAATTGATTTTTAATCTTCTCTACAAAGTTATTTCTGTATTTGCCGTTGCTTCAGGAAAAGAAACAAACTATAGGGAGAGGTTAGTGTAATTGCTTCTAAGCTAACCTACGATTTCAACTTAATAATTATTGACATAGCGCACCTAACCTTAGATAACCTCAACTTGAGTAGCTTCGTCTTGTGTTGAGGCTTATGTTCAGTTTAATGCAGTGGTTCACCCTTTGCCTTGGGGCAAAATTTAAAGGGTTTGAAAGCGGATGAAAACCTGACACTAATCCGAAATGAGCTTAAGGATAGTTATGGCCGAGATAAAAATCTAAACCACAAACTCAATCTAAATCAAGAAGGAGAAAATTGCCATCATAGAGTAAAAGTTCTCACCTTAAACGTGGGAGTCAGTTGAAGCACGATATCTTTACTGATGGAGGAAAACTGATAAAGCATCCACAGATACGAGGAACTGAAATATAAAGGTAATCTAAAAGCAATTTTTCGTGATGCGGGCGATAACCACATACTGAAGCCAATACGGAAGGATAAAAGGTTTTGAAGGGCTTAGCAGTCGTGCTCACGTCATCTTTCGTTTGCCTTTCTTTTTTAAATGGTTTTCCCTCAATTTTTTCAATATATTTTTTTACTGTTAGGAAGGTTTTCTTTACTCCACAAAACTGAAAGCAATACCAATATTTTTAATGGCTTATCTGATATGACGATTCTCAAAGTTAAAGGGAAAGAATCATTTCTGCATTGATAAGTTAACCTTTATTAGAAAAAAAATTTTAAAAGGCAAATGACGTCGCCGGAAGGAACACGATGGCTCGGCCTGTATCACCGATAGTTCTTTGCTTGTTGAGATATATCCTGCTGACAAACAATGTTTTGGAAAAGCACAGGGGAAAATAGTAAAGTACTTTTAACCTTAAAGCATGCCGTGACAAGTCAAGAAGTAAAATGGTACCTAATCTCTGATTCAGATTTCAATTGAAGGCAAAACTTCACAATTACAAGTAAGCCGGGTTTATGTTTTGAAGGATATGAAATCGTTATAAGCATTGGTTTCTTGTTATCATCGTTGAAACAAATCCCCATAGTGTTGACTAAACTTACTATTGCCATTAGAATATTCAGGGTTGCAAGCATAATCTTTTAATATATTATTACAGAGGGGGCTAAATATAGTGAACGTACGTGCTGCCTAACACTGAAACGGAAAAATGTCTCAGAAACTAGCCCATCATTATAATATGGCTAAGATAAACAAAGGGGGTAAGTTCTCAAGAGGCTTTGTTGCTGCGTGGGTGGAGGTATGAAAAGTGGCCACCGTAAAGAGTTTCCAAAGCTAATGTTTCAAGCGTAAGCCCTTTGTTCCTTGTTTACACGTTTTACACTATGATATAAATAGCAGACTGAGGAAACACTCTACTACGTCATCTGTATTATAGACTATCTAAATTCTATAGAAACCATCATCTTGTTTTGAAATAGCATTTGCCTTGTTTTTCACCTCAATTAAACTGTGAAGTGATGCAAGCAAGTGGAACTTCCTTGAAAATGGAAATAAGTCGCGATGAAATGGCGGCGTTTACATTCACAAATCATCAATTCTTGTCAAGATTTGCAGTGAATTTAAACCGATTAAATTTCATGCATCGGCCTAGCTAAGGATCACACAGCACATAATTAATAATTTTGGGAAGTTCCTCACAGATAAGAATTTCCCTCATTTTTATCTATTGTTTATTATAGATTCCATTTGCTTAAGTCATTACGAAGCTTTGCAGCTGCGTGCCTTTGTTTCATGGGATCAATCAACTTCCCTTGTTTTGGTTTCGTTCGTGTTTCGTGAATATGATTACATTGCTTGCTTTTGCTTTACACTATCAACTCATCTTATTTCAATGCTATTCTCAGCAAAAGCTACTCCACCATTCTAAGAGTCTTACAATGGAGGGCTATTATTGGTTTCCATTTACTAAAGTAGTTAACCCCCAGCTGTGGGCATGCTGAAAGTATGTGTTTTTTTTTTTAATTCTACTAACTTTCCTTGTTTTGACACTAACCTCGGCAGAGCTAAGAACATTCTAATAACTGAACCCTGCCTACATGTTTATCCCTTCCGCCCACAGTGGTGTGG